AGGGGCGGTCTGGAGATCAAGCTGGAGTCCATACCAAGCAGAGAGCAGGCGAGAGCCACGTGCAGCAGTGGTCATGAGCAGCTGCTTGCAGCTTAGCACCGGCAGCGAAGCGAAGGCAGAGAGTGAGGGGCAGCGAGTGAGGGGCAGCGGGGGAAAAGGGGCTGGGCCAGGCGCACTGTGTTCCAGGCCTTTTATGCACTTCCAGAGGGGAGTGGTTATGTAGCCTGACTGGCTGGTGGGCACACAGATGTGGTCAGGTGGGGGCCTGGCGATCACACGGGGGCATGGTGAGGCATGGTCTTCCAGCTCACAACTCTGATCGGTTGTATCCTATCCGCCTGCCTGCATCAGAGAGGTGTCTTGTAATTGGCAGTATGGTCTGTAGTGACCTCTGAGTGCCTTTGAGGATAGATTAGAGGAGGCTGGAGATGGGAGACTGGGAGATAAGGAAAAGGAAGATAATAAAAGCACTCTTTTTCTAGGAACTGGCCATAAGAGAAAAGAAATTCTGGGAGGAGTGTAGGTTTTCTCTTTGCTTTAAGATACCTGTTGGAGCTGGCGCTGTGGCTCAGCGGGTTAATGCCCTGGCTTACAGTGCTGGCATCCCATATGGGCGCCGGTTCTAGTCCTGGCTGCTCCTCTTCTGATGCTGCTCTCTGCTATGGCCCCTGTACCCACGCGGGAGATCCAGAAGAGGCTCCTGGCTCCTGACTTCGGATCAGCACAGCTCCGGCCATTGCGGCCATCTGGGGAGTGAACCAGTGGATGGAAGACCTCTCTCTCTGTCTCTACCTCTCTCTGTAACTCTGTCTTTCAAATAAATAAAATAAATCTTAAAAGATACCTGTTTATAGGTTTAAAGTAGGGAATTGGTTAACAGCATGGGTTTGAATAATAGGCATTAGATATTTTGAGATGTGAAGATACTGTGGAATATTTCTTTTTATTTATCTTTTTAGAAATCTTTTATTTAGTGAATACAAATTTCAAAGGTACAGCTTTGCGAATATAGCGGTTCTTCCCCCCCGTACCCGCTCTTCCACTCCCATTCCACCTCCTGTACCTTCTCCCATCCCATTCTTCATTACGATTCATTTTTAATTATCTTCATATACAGAAACCAACTCTATTACTAAGTAAAGATTTCAGCAGTTTGCACCCACACAGACACACAAAGTATAAAGTACTGTTTGAAGGCAAGTTTTACAATTCTCATAGTACAACTCATTAAGGACAGAAGTCTACATGGGGAGCAAGTGCACAGTGACTCCTGTTGTTGATTTAACAATTGACATTGTTATTTATGACGTCAGTGATCACCCAAGTCGCTTGACATGAGCTGCTGAGACTATGGAAGCATTTTGAGTCCACAAATTCTGTCAGTATTTAGACAGGGCCATAAGCAAAGTGGAAGTTCTCTCCTCCCTTCAGAGAAAAGTACTTCCTTCTTTGGCCCTTCTTTCCACTGGGATCTCACTCACAGAGATCTTTCATGTAGGTCATTTTTTGCCACACTGTCTTGGCTTTCCATGCCTGAAATGCTCTCCTGGGCTTTTCAGCCAGATCCGAATGCCTTAAGGGCTGATTGTGAGGTCAGAGTGCTGTTTAGGGTGTTTGTCATTCTTTGAGTCTGCTCTGTGGCCTGCTCCCATGTTGGATCATTCTCTACTTTTTAATTCTATCTATTGTTATTAGCAGACATTTGGTCTTTTTTTTTTTTTTTTTTTGGACAGGCAGAGTTAGAGACAGAGAAAGGTCTTCCTTCCGTTTGTTCACCCCCCAAATGGCCACTACAGCTGGCACGCTGCGCCAATCCGAAGCCAGGAGCCAGGTGCTTCCTCATGGTCTCCCATGCAGGTGCAGAGCCCAAGCACTTGGGCCATCCTGCACTGCCTTCCAGGGCCACAGCAGAGAGCTGGACTAGAAGAGGAGCAACCGGGACAGAACCGGCACCTTAACCGGGACTAGCAACTAGGAGGATTAGCCAAGTGAGCTGTGGTGCTGGCGACACTTGGTCTTATTTATGTGATACCTTTGACACTTAATCCTGATATCGGGAATGACCTCCTAAATTCTATACAAAAATGTGGCCCCTTAGAGCTCCCTGGAAGCGCCATCTGGGATGCCACATATGTTACCGGAATTTGGGGTGTCATATGATATCACCATATGCTTTTTAATAAATCTCCAATATTAATCAGCCCGAGAGGGTTCTTGCTTAATATTTAGAGAAGAATTCTAAATACAGGCATAAATAAACGAGGCAGCATGGCACATTTTAAGCTTTATTTAGTGTGAAAGATGCATAGGAGAGAGAGCGGTTTATCTGAGAGAAAGGGGTAAATCTGGGTTCATACCGAGCACCAGGAACCAGCCATGTAGAGGAGCATCCAGGCCAGGAAGGGGCATCTAGCCCTGGAGACGCAGGGCTACAGCCAGCCCTCTTCTGGCAAGAGGCCAGGGCAGAAGACAAGAGCAGGACACACCTTGTCCCAGGCTTTTAACCTACTTCCAAAGGGGAGTGGTTAATTAACCTGATTGGCTGGTGGGCACCCAGGTGCCAGGTAGGGGCATGGGGTCACACAGGGGCGTGGTGAAGGTGTGATCTTCCGGCTCACAAACCTGATCAATTTTAAACTGTATGCCTGCCTACTTCATTGCTATCTACACGATCCGTTACACACTTAATGTGATCACTTTAACATGTGAGATGGCATTATTACCACCCAGCTTAATAGGATTTGGAGTCCCATGGCAAGTTTTTAGCTTTATCCTTAGGGGTAGGTCTGTGGGAACGTGTGCCAAATTGTATATCTCCTCCCTCTCTTATTCTACTCTAATTTTTTTTACTGGGTTGGAATATGTCTCTTTGGATGTCCTTACAAGGACAGGAGCTGTAATAAATTACATAAATCCCTTAGTGTTAGGGGAAGCTTATGGGTGGTAACTTGCGTATGAAATAAAGGCTGTCATTCTCTTAAGAGTTTGGGAGGTGGGGATGAGCTATGGAGAACTGTCAGAGTGGGGAGGCGACAGAGTTTGGAAGAGGTAGAGGCCGTTGCTGAGGAGGCTCGGGGCCCAGCAGAACAGGAACGGTCTGTGCAGTGGGAGCAAGCATTTGCCCAGGGAGAGGCGGGCTGCTGGTTCATGACCAGGTGTATGAATTCCTTAATACTGTTTTGTGCTTGACCTTCAATTCACTTGCCTCTTAAATCAATTTCATTTACTTCTAGGCTTTTTCTTTTTCTTTTAATTTGATGGGCAGAGTTAAAGAGAGGCAGAGAGGTGTCTTCTATCCACTGGTTCACTCCCTAAATGACTGTCTGAGCTAAGCCAGTCCAAAGCCAGGAGCAGCTTCTAGGGCTCCCACATGTGTGCAGGTCCCCAAGGACTTGGGCTGTCTTCTGCTTTCCCAGGCTGTAGCAGAGAGCTGTGGAGCAGCCAGGTCTTGAACCAGCGCCAGTATGGGATGCTGGCACTGCAGACGGCAGCTTTACCTGCTACACCACGGCGCCAGCCCCTACTTTTAGGCCCTTAAGAGAGGCAGTAAATGATTTGATTCTAGAGAGTTGCAGTGTTAAAATAATCTAGAAATTAATATTAAATTTTATATTTGTTTTAGATGTAGGTTACTAAGATAGGCACTATCAAATTTCAGACATAGTAAAACAATCTTAACTCTATTCCTGGCTCCCAAGTATTACCAGGGTGACCTGTTCCTAAAACAAAGATGAGGATTACTGCTTGCCTTGAAATTACTACCTCTACATGGCATGATTGTCTTAGGGAAGGGTAAGGTCTGATTTATTGAAAAAAAAAAATTTTTTTTTTTGAAAGGCAAAGTTACAGAGAGGCAGAGAGAGGTAGGTCTCTCCATCCACTGTTTCACTCCCCAAATGGCCACAACAGCCAGAGCTGAGCCAATCAGGAGCCAGGAGCTTCTTCTGGGTCTCACACTTGGGCGCAGGGGCCCAAGGACTTGGGCCATCTTCCTCTGCTTTCCCAGGTACATTAGTAGGGAGCTGGATTGGAAGTGGAGCAGCCAGGACTCAAACTGGTGCCAGTATGGGATGCTGGCACTGCAAACAGTGGCTTTACCCTCTATGCCACAGTGCAGGCCCCCTTACTGAGATTTTTAAGTTTAATTTAGGAAAATCTTTTTTAAAAAATGGATTTATTTGAAATGCAGAGTTGCAAAAAGAGGGAGACTCACAGAGGAAAGGAGATTGTCCATTGTTGATTTACCCCCTGAAAGGAAAGGCCACCACTAAACACACCAAACACTGGAGTAAGGGAGAAGGTTTATTGTCGGGTGGGGCCCAACAGGCTGCCTCCCAGTGCACGAGAGAACAGCTGCCTGCACTGGGAGAACAGGTCTTCTATGGTTTGCAGAGGTAAGGAAGTGGGAGCAGAAATCCCGTTAGGGTCGGGGTGGATTTAAACCCAGGCCCTTGGACGTGGGATGTGGGCAGTCTAAGTATTGGCTTAACCACTGCACTAAACATCTGCCCTAAGAGACACTTTGATGGTTCAGTGTAGACAAACTTTGCTTCATGGACAAAATTTATTTTAAAAAATATTTGAAAAGTAGAGTTAGGGAGAGAAAGATCTTCCATCTGCAGGTTCTCTTTCCCAGATGGCTGCAACAGCTGGAGCCAGGAGCCAGGAGCTTCATCTGGGTCTCGCACATGGGTGCAGGGGCCCAACCACTGGGATTGTCTTCCACTGCTTTCCCAGATGTGTTAGTGGGGAGCTAGATCAGAAGTGGAGCAGCTGGGACACGAACTGGTGCTCCTATGGGACGCTGGTGTTGCAGGTGGTGAAACTTGATCATCAAATACTTTTTTAGGATCTTTGTTTACCAGATGTTTCGATATCTTGTAACTATATTTTTTGCTTTAAGTTCCTTTTTTAAATTTTTGAATTTTTTTTTTGAGTTCATATGTACCATTCTAAGAATATAATGATTTTTCCTTCCTGCCTCCCCCGCCTCCCCTTAGGTTACTTTTTGATGTCACAAAAGAAGATGTTTTGTTTCTGGCTTCGCCTCTGACCTTCGATCCTTCTGTTGTGGAGATATTTGTTGCGCTCTCCAGCGGCGCCTCTCTGCTTATCGTGCCAGCTTCCGTCAAAGTGCTCCCATCCAGACTAGCTGCTGTGCTCTTTTCCCGTCACAGAGTGACTGTTCTGCAGGTACCGCTTAGGACGGAGAGGATGTGACTGTTCCGCGGGTACCGCTTAGGACGGAGAGGATGTGACTGTTCCGCGGGTACCGCTTAGGACGGATAGGATGTGACTGTTCCTGCGGGTACCGCTTAGGACGGAGAGGATGTGACTGTTCCCGCGGGTACCGCTTAGGACGGAGAGGATGTGACTGTTCTGCAGGTACCGCTTAGGACGGAGAGGATGTGACTGTTCTGCAGGTACCGCTTACCCCTTTAAAGAAGGGAGAAAGATGGTGATTGTTCCTGGGGGCACCCCCTTTAAGGAAGGGAAAAGGATGTGAATTGTTCCCCCGGGTCCCCCTTTATGTAGGGAAAAGAATTATTGATTTTCCCTGTGGGTCCCCCCTTAAAAACGGAAAAAGGAGAAGAGTTGTCCCCCCGGAGCCCCCTTTAGTAGTGAAGAGATTTATTTATATTTTTCTCCGGGCCCCCCTTTAAGAAAAGAGGAAAATAGATAATTTTTTTCCCTGGGGCATCCTTTTTATCAAAA